GATCTTCGAGTCTGTGGTGATGAGGCTCATACGGGAAATTACCATCTGCCTCTAATTGAATAACATTGAACATGACTGATGCTCAAAAATTCCAATACGGTCTATTCTTCGGGATCTACATCATCTAATTTAAGGCTTAACTTTTGCTGTTTCGTTCTAAAACCGGGCTCAAACATCACTTTGTAATAAGTGAACCTTGTCCATTGAATAAGAGGAAAACAGAGCGTAAGTTTTATTTAAAACTTAAATAATAATAGTGGTGATAACCAAGTGGTTTTATTGACTGGAAACGTCGCTTTTGATTCAGATTTTATCCTGATCAACGTCAGCTAAACCCTACAGTTGAACGTCGCTGCTGGGTTTTACCACAAATGTATTGTGTCAGTCGACGGCCAAAATAACACACCAGATGTGGGTCTTTCGACTGCTAATACATATTGTGAAATACCATGTATTTTGTTATCTCAACGAGCTAATGATGATTCAATTTCCGTGGCGTAAAGACAGGTCATTTGGTTCGGATAAAATCAATTCAAATTACTAAAGGTTATTAAGCAAACATCATCATCATCAGAGGGGAGGGTGAAACATTATTCCTTTTTTGCGAGTATGTATAAAAAGGGGTTAAAAATCAGCACGTATCAATCTATTTCAAATAACAATACACTGGTCAGATGTGCGTATGTGGTTTCGGCCAGGTGACTCACACTGCCACCACTGTTACAGTAAACCGTACGAAGTAGATTTTCCTCTTCCGCGATCACCAGTCCAGATTCAGTGGTATCTTATTCTGTTCCCTATAAACTGAGCGTCAGACTATTCGAATGCAACCGAACATGTCTGATCGATTTTGAGTCTGAGCAACGTCTACCACACCGTGCACTATTCGCAGACATCGGTCCAGGTTGGAAGAAACAGCGAGGTGGGCAGGCTATGACGTGGTACTCAAATCTGCCCTCCTTTGGGGCTTCCCGATTCCACGTCCGTGCCCCCAAAGACTCATATTGTATTTGGTTGGAGACACTGCGGGATATGGCATCCAACCAGAGTCGGCAGCCTGAATGCATCCTTTTCTCTATGCACTTCCAAAAGTTAAACCAAAACGAGAGAAAAAAAATCAAAATGGTGCGTACTAAACAAACAAAAAATGTATTATTCCCCAAGTTGACTGTTTCCCCGATTTTGTTCCCATATTGTTCGTTCAGCCATGGTTATTTTGTCACCTTATCGGTAACAATTGGTGTTATATATATATATATATGTTTCTTTGGTATCAGGTATTTTGATTACGATGCATTCTGTCCATCTTTCTATTGCCGACAACTTTGCAAAACAGGATTGAAAGCGATACGCGAAAAGTTATTAGTGTGGGAGAGCTGAACAGTCCACATGAAACAAGCAATTAAACCAACTAAATAGTAAAACACGTTGTGCATTGATTTCCATTATCGACGAATCCGAACTATGGTTGTTCGTTTTGCAAACATTTTGACAAACACAACATCCTCTACACCTCGATTGATAGATCTGAGCTGGGAAGTCAGAAAAAAAGGGATAGGAAGCTTGCCTATCAGACCTCACACACACACACACACACACACACACACACACACACACACTGTGTTCGTGAGACAAGCACTCTCCCGACATGTGCTTTATCCTTACCGTGTCCAGGATCATCGATTTGGTTTGTACAGATAGCCAACTTAATTGGGGTATTTGATGGATGATGGGATGCAGTAAAACAAACAGTAACTCGTTCACTACTGTTCAAACGGAATCGCTCTCGTTTCAAACGGAAACAGTGATTCAATCTTTTTCATCTGTTTACCTGGAGATGGGGATATAGCAGTAAACCTAAGTGAGAGGAGGTTGCGATATGTAGCCTTGGTTTGAAATCAACTCATTGAGAAACTAGAGATAGCACCCTACTCTCCCTCCACCAAAAAAAAATAATAATAATAATGTACCAACGAGGTTTCAGTTCCAGGAGACTTCGGGGATACGATTCAGTAAAGAGTCAAAAGAAAAACAAATATCCTGTGTTACGGGGAACCTACAACTTAAAAAATGTTACTATCAGCGACTGCGCTTCAACGTATCAACCGGATGATGAAAATCATCATGACGATCACGATCAAGATGGTGATGAAGATGATATTGGTGGTGGTGATGATGATGATGGTGCTGATGATGATGATGATGATGATGATGATGATGATGATGATGATGATGATGATGATGATGATG